ATAAAACATTTTGCAATTAAAAAATACATAAAACACCCCACCCCACTCTCCAAACATAAAATCATGCCCCCCAACCCAAGCAACCAGAAACAACTCTAAAATCAATTACCCCGTGCATTTCAATGATTGCAACATTGGGTAGATTTAAGCTATTTTTAAGATTATTTTTAAAACTAATAAAAGAACTACAAGTTTTTACATGATCGGGAGCAGCGTTCCACTGAGCRATGGCTTTAACCRAAAAAGCTGCTTGTCCAAAGGCTGATCGTCGAGCAGGAACTTCACAGTCCTGCCTGGATGTTCTGGTTGCTGCAAACTATTCTGTGCCTGACCAACAACAGGCAGAAGCTATTCTAACAAACAGAAGTCCTGCCTTACTGCAGAGGATAAACTGGAAAAACACTGAGCTTTAATAAAGCCATCCAGAAGCTTCATCAGCTGACTAAGCTTTTTTTTTCTTCTTGCACCAGACAAGTCACTTACTCTGCTCGCTGAGGTCTGTGATGCCAACAGAAACGTCCTCCTCTCCTCCTTCAGGAGCAGCCAGGATGCTGAAGGATACAGGCGGACATTCACACGACATTTGGATAAACGTCACAGCACGACTCAGCAGTTTAGCGCCGAGATTCTCTTCCTGTTTATCTCGCTCCTYGCACGTAAACGCTCCAACGCGCTTGGAGCTGATCCCGAGGTATCCATTCCTCCTCAGGCKWATTCAGCCCTGCCAAYGMCACGTCGTTCTAATCCTTTCCCTCTGCTCCTTCCCTGCCTCCTCTGAATCGAGCTTCCAAAAGTCGACGCAGCAGATTACAAACCGATACTCAGCTGGCGGAGCAGCAYTGTGCTTCATGCTCGCTGCATGAGCCAGTTTGAACTATAAAGATGCCACACGCTGAAGGCAGTACAGGAGCTGAGGGCTGGGGATGAAATACACCCGAGTCTGAGTCAAAGAAGCAGAAAAAAAAAAGAGGCAAGTTGGGGGAAAAGTGAGGTCAGGTCAGCTAATCTGTTTATTGCACTAGAAAAGAAAACAGCTGAGGTTTGTCTCCGTATGTGTGTGTGTGTGTGTGTGTGTGTGT